TCAGCATGGTCATCAATGTGTGGAGCCACAGGAGATGGGGGAGATTTTTAATGAATATTTCTCCTCAGTGTTTACGGAGGAGAGAATCATGGATGCTAACAAAATACAGGAAACAGGTGGGGATGTTTTGACCACATACACATTACCGGAGAGATTTTTGCAGCCATAAAGCACATTAAGATGGATAAATCCTCTGGGCCTGATCAGTTCCATTCTCGGAGGTTGTGGGAGGCTAGGGAAGAAATTGCAGAGGCCCTTGCAGAGATTTTTGTTTCATCTTTAGCCACTGGTGAAGTTCCAGGAGACTGGAGGGTGGCTAATGTTGTTCCATTGTGTAAGAAAGGTAGCAAAGACAAGCCAGGGAACTATAGGCCAGTGGGCCTGACATCAGAGGTAGGCAAGTTACTGGAGAGGATACTATCCTTGTAACCCTGCTTTCCCCATGGCTAACCTGCACATCCCTGGCCACTATTGGCAATTTAGCACGGCCAATCCACCAAACCTGCATACCTTTGGCTGTGGGAGGAAACCAGAGCACCCTAAGGAAATCCATGCAGACATGGGGAGAATGAGCAAACTCCACATAGACAGTCGCCCAAGGCCAAGGGTAGAATCAAACCTGGGTCCTTGGCGCTGTTAGGCAGCAGTGTTAACCACTGAACCATCGTGCCACCCAGAGTGTTTTGCTTCCTCAGCCTGTGGGTGCCTTTGGAGCAACTGGGACTGAGATTGTAGTGTCTCAGTCACTTTTCACCTTGCCACTGATACCATATACCCATAATTACAGTAATAACGATGAATCCAGCAGCCACTGAACAATTGCTGGACCTGGGTCTTCAAGTAGAACATTCTGTGGTCCGCAGTGTGTGCACTGGCTCGCCAATGAGCATTGTGACTTAGTGCCAATCTCCTGTCTTTTCCTCATACCGTACACATCATTCCTACATAAATAATTGTCTAATGCCTACTTGAATGTCTCAATTAACTCTGCCTTCACCGAACTTCCAGACAGTGCATTCCAGACCTGAATGGCTTCTGTGAAAATGTGTTTCTTTCACATCATCTTTGCTACATTTGGAAATCTATGCCTTGTTCACCTTGATCCTTTTACACATTTTTCCCTAACTACTTGATGTAGAACTCTCACAATTTTCAAAAGCTATCTGATCTCAATTAGCCTTCTTCTCCCCAGGGAAAAGAGTCCCAACTCTCTCTAATCTATCCTTATTCTTGAAGATTCCCAACCCTGGAACTATTCTTGTCAATCTCTTCTGAACTTTCTCCAGTGCATTTACATCCTTCCTATAAGGTGGCACCCAGAACTATACACAACACTCCAGCTGAGGTCCAACAAGTGTCTTGTTTAATTTCAACATAACGTCTTTGCTGTTCTACTTTGTGCCCGTATTAATAAAGCCCAGGATGCTTTCTCCTTCTGCCCTGCTGCCTTCAATGATCTGTGCTCATTTGCATCTAGCTCCTTCTCCCCCTGCACCCCCTTTAGAATTGTAGCCTCTAGTTTTTATTGCCTTTTCATGTTATTCCTACCAAAATGCAACATCTCACACTTCTCTGCATTGGATGTGATCTGTCACCTCTCCACCCACTCCACCGACTTATCTGTCCCGTTGAAGGTTTGTACTATCCTCTTTACAGTTTGCAGTGTCTTCAAGTTCCATTTCATCTGCAAACTGAAAAACAGTCCCCTGCACACCAAGATCTAGATCATTTATAGACATTAGGGAAAGCAAAGGTCTCAACAGCAATTTCTAGGGACCTCCGTCACAAACCATCCTCTAGCTTGGAAAGTGCCCATTGACCACTGCTTTGTTTCCTATCACACAGCTAATTTTGTATCCATGTTACTACTGTCCTTTTTCGTTCCACGAGCTGTAACTCTCCTCAAGTCTGTTGTGTGGCACTGTATCAAATGCCTTTTGAAAGTCCATATATATCACATCAGCAGCATTTATGTAATCAACCCTCTCTGTTACTGCTTCAAGTAACTCCCAGTTAGTCAAACACAATTTCCCATTTAGGAATCTATGCTGGTTTTCCCAATCAATCCACCTTTTCCGACATGACTATGGATTCTAAGACAAATAGTTGTTCCTTAAAGCATCCCCACTACTGATTCACTATTCTGAGAGAAGAACATCCATGTTATCTGTGTCTTAAATTGACAACCCTTTACTTTGAGATTATTCCCTCTAGTCCTAGAGATCGTTATTGCTTTTATTTCCTATCTCCCTTTTGTCCCTTGGTTATTTAGGAATTTCGAATTGCTGTTAATGTCTTCTAAAGTGAACGCTGTTGCGAAGTGGTGGTCAACACCTTTGCAATTTCCTGGTTCCTCATTATTATTTCCCCGGCTTCATTCTCTAAGGAGCGAATGTTAGGTTTGGCCTCTCTTCCATTTTATAGAATAAAAGAAGTTCTTGCTGTCTGTCTTGATATTATTTGTTAGTTTACTTTCAATTTTTATTTTCTCCCCCATAGTTATTTTTTGGTCATCTTTTGTTGGTTTTTAAAATTTCCCAATTCTCTGTCTTAACCACTAATTTTTGCCATGTTGTTTATTTCTCTTTCAATTTGATGCTTAACTCCCCTGGTTAGCCCCTTCCCAAAATCCTTCTTCCCCACTGGCATATATCTTTGTGTAAGTCATGAACTATTTTCTTAAATATCTGCCATTACCCTTCAACCGTCTTTGCTGATAAATTCTTTTCCCAGCCCACTCCAGCTAGGTCTGCCCTCATTCCTTTGTAATTACCCAAATTTCCTCCTCTCAAACAGAATGCTAAATTCTCCCACGATATGATCATTATTTCCCAGGGACTCTTTTATTCTAGCATCATTTATTAAACCGGCCTCATTACACATCACCAGGTCGAAAACACCTTGATCCCTGGTTGGATCCACAATATATCGTTCTAGGAAACTGTCCTGAATACACTCGGAGTTCTTCCCTGTGGCTGCTTCTACTAATCTAACTGTCCAAGTTTAGAAGAAGATTAAAGTCACCCATGATTAATATGCTTATCTCCTGATTTATTCTTTGCCCTACCCCTACAGTTAGGGGGCTCATAGACTACTCCTACCAGTGGGAGTAGATATAGTTCTTAGGGAATCAATGAGTATGTGAAGAAAGCAGGAACAGGGGATGGAGTTGGATGATGAGCCATGATCATATTGAATGGAGGAGCAAGCTCAAAAAGGGACAAATGGCCTAGTCCTGCTCTAATTTTCTAAATCCTCTTCTCCTTTTTATTTCTTACCTCCAAATCTATGGATTCTACATCTTTGGATCCCAGATCGTTTTTTGTGATTGTAATTATTCCATCTCATACCAACGAAGCTATGCCATCCTTTCCTTTTGAAAAAGTCACACATTCCTGAATATTTCGCTTCGTATTCAGGGTACAAGTCATCCATGCTCTCAAAAAGAGAGGGAGTAGTTGCCACCTTGATTGTAATTCATGGAGGAGAAATGATCAGGTAAACCCATCACAGTCATAGAGACATACATACAACAGGAGAAACTGTTCCTTAACTGCAGGGGACTGATGAGGACGATACTAACATATCACCTCCACAGTCCACAGATCAACCATCTGACCCACAGGTCCACAATGGAAATGGAACAATAACAAGTTCCAAAACAACAACAAATGACATTGGAATGACACACTCAAGGAAAGAACATCACCCAGATGAACAGCCAATGACAATACGCCATTCAGAGCCTATTACAATTTAAATACTATATGTGCAAATGCTTGTGTGAAGTCAGACAAGAATAATAAACTGCAAATGTTGGACACTTACTGGGTAACTTAGCTATGTCACAATGTAAAAGGTAACACGTGCATTTTTTTTCTGTTTCTGTTTTTGAGAAAAGGACGTTTGCAATAAAATGCAATATTGTACCATTCTGTTTCCTGGCTTGCCATTGTTGAGTGGCTCTTACTATGAGACATAGACGGGACCATCTACCTTGCAGCCAGTTTTAATAAGTCACAATCCAAGCTAGACTGCTGTCTTGAGAGATTGTAACAGAGTGATACAAAGAAAGAGTGACAGAGAGAGGGAGACAGAGGGGTTATACAGGAAAGCATGCGAATTTGAGGCATAGCGAGAAAGACAGGGAGAGGTAAAGTGGAGAGAGGGGGAAGAAGGGGTGAGGAGACAGGATTAAGTTGGGGGGGCAAGGAGAGAGAGAGAATGCCACAACTTGGAACAGGGGAGAGCAAGAAGGGTAGAGGGAGGAGGATAGAGAGAGGGTTAGGGATAAAGAAGGGGCAGAGAGGGAGAAAAGGGGAAGGGGAAATGTAGAGAGGAAGAGGGGATGGGGAGAGAGGCAGAGACTGGCAGGGAGAGAGGGACTGAGTGATCGAAAAAGAGGGAGATTGTGGTGGGGGAGCAGGAATAGAGACAAAAAGCAAGTGAGATGAGAGAGGGAGAAGAGAAGCAATGTTAGAGAGGGTGGTGAGGAGAAAGGGAGAAAGGGGTAGGGAGCCAGAGAGAGATGAAGAGTGCGAAAGACGGGTAGGGAGAGAGGGAAAGATAGGGAGAGAGGGTAAAAAGGAGTAGAAAGACAGCAATAGCTTGCAAAGAATTGAAGACTGAAATTCTCAGAATTTTATACATTGCCTCATGACCTGGGTGCCTGTGGGATGGGTTCGTCTTAGCAACCAGGAGCTGGGAAGCTGGAGATTGGGGAAAGGTGCAGCCAATAACACGGGGGCGAGTAATAAGGAGCTGCTCACGGCAGGACCAATGAAAGCAGAGAGTTCAGCAGCATCAGCACCAATGATACAGGAGCATGCTACAGCATTGCAGCAAGCTCCGGCAGGGAGAAGGAGCATCCATCTATCCTACACCGTGTCCGGCTGCGGTTAGCTCCTATCCCCTCCAGCCAGAGTGGTCAGGGAGCGGAGCCCGGCTGCAGGCTCCAGTGGCCGGATAGGGAGATCCAGGAGCTCCGCTCCTGCAGCAACATGGACCGTCTGATCCGGCTGCTGCTCGGCTTCATCACCGTGTTCCCGCTGCAGAGCCAAGCAGCACCCAAAGTGGTGAATATCGGCGCGGTCCTGAGCACCAAGAAGACGGAGAATATCTTCAGGGAGGCGGTGGCGCAGGCGAACCGGAAGCACGGAACCTACAAAATCCAACTCAATGCCACAGCGGTCACTCACAAACCCAATGCTATCCAGATGGCCCTGGCAGTGTGTGAGGACCTGATCAGCAGTCAGGTAAAGCTGGCAGTCTGCTCTCACTTATTGACCATCACCAACCAGGCTGTTAACTAGGACTGAATTGTACTAACCTTGTGTACTGAGCAGTAATGTTTACTAGTCTTGACGAATAACTAGCAGCATTATTCAGTACGAAAACCAGCATCGTTTACTAGCATTATTCGTTTATCTGCAGCATTTCCTGGTATTGAGATTTAAAATATTTAACATTTACTCATACCAGCTATTAACTAGTAGAATTTGACCCATGCCGATTACTAACTGGTACCATTTACTAACAGTGAGCACTAACTAGCAACATTTACTGTTGCTCTATTAACTGGCAGCGTTTACTAGCGGTGAATAACAATCAGAAATATTTACTCCTGTACTCCATTTGCAATTTGTCAGCACGGGCACTGATGAATTGGACATGACCACATTCAAGAGATTATGTATTTTGGGCAGAGATGTTGGGAGGGTGTGGGTCAGCAGCAAGGGAGAAAAGGTAATGAACTGGAGAAAAATGCCAAGATCATATCAATTCATTTAAAGACAAAGGGGTTAGAAACAAAGTAAATGAGAAGAATTGGGAGCACGAGAGACCAAATGGGATCGGGGTGACAAAGGAGAGTGTGAGACAGGGAATGGAGCAGCCGAGTTCTGGATAAGGAGGAATTTGTGGGAATATTGGAAAAAATTGATGTTAGGGTAGGTTACAAAAACATTGATGATGATAGAATGTGGCAGGTGTGATTGAGGCAGATGGAGGATGCATGATATTGCAAGAGTAGATTAAAATATCTTGCTGATGCATGGGATGGGCAGACTGTGGGGAAGGAGAATTGAAAAGCAGCAAATAGCATTCTTCAATAGCAATTCATTTAGTATTGTGATGATCATCTTCAGATAAATATTGACACTAAACCTTTGAGGGGGACATCAGGACAAGACCATGCCAAACAAGTTGCAGCTTGAAGGAGCATTGAGAGGTAGCCAGGCAGAGGGGTTTTGGAAGGGAATTCCAGAAAATATCATCTTGGTAACTGAAGAGAAAAGAGCAGCAATGATGGATGAAGAGAATGGGACACATTGATCTCCATCTACACTGCATTGCCCACTTCTACCCTTACGTCAGCTTCTCTGTCTCTGAAAGTCTCAGTCTTGTGTCCAGAATTAGCAAGTGTAGATAAGATGCAGAAGGAGAGAGCTAGGCAGAGGCCAGGCTATGCATGATATAAAATTGAAAAATTAAAAAATTCAATCAATCAATCAATCGCCTATGCAAGTCTGACAGCTCTGATGCAGTAGCCAGGCAGCTTTGGAAATGATGGTGCGGTTGAGGGGAGGGTCAGTGCTCAGAGCAGAGGCAAGAGTGTCATGTGGTGAGACAGAGGGGACACTGTCAAATCTGATTGCCACTGAGTTAGCACAAAGTACATTATCCAGATTCTAGCCTGCAATGCTCGGAATACCTTTGAGCTATACCTTAAAGCTGCAACATTCACTCACATTTCTTTCCTTTTACATTGACTATCTATCGATAATTAGCTTATGTTTGCCCTTTTATCATAACTGTCTTACATGCCAGGAAGCAGAAAGGCAGGACTCTGCTCTCGGTAACTCTGGAGAACCGTATGGTCCTCATTGCTCTGTGCAGCTGAGAGCAGTTATTGAAATGGAATCAGCCAGAGTCCGCCCACACTCTACTGCAAGGAGAATGAGTGCTGCTTAGTTAGACAAACATTGCCAAGCCTCTCACTAACTACCGAGCCTCGGCAGTCTTGCTGCTGGATGTTGTAAAGGTTTTTCAGCACAGAGCATGGTAAATGAGCTCTCCCTGTCTTCCAGCATTCCACCCATGAAGAGCATTAACCAGATTAAAGGGAAGAGAGAGAATATCCATTCATCACCTCAGGATGTTCCATAATGTTTTACAGCCAATGTAGAATCAATTTTTGAGGTATAGTCATTGTTGTAGGAATTGAAGCAGTCAAACTTGTGCACAGCAAGCTCCCACAAACAACGTCTTAAATCACATTTTGAGTGATGGTGGCTGAAGGACATATATTGGTCAGGACTCCTGAGACACCTGATCCATGGGATCTTCTGCATCAGTCTGAGACGGGAGACGGGACATTGATTTAACATCACATCTGAAGCACAGTAGTTTGGACAGTTCAGCACTGCACTATTCCCCAAGATATCATGCTCACTTCCCCAGAATTAGGCTTGTCACATAGATGTGACAGCTTCCCATTGTGAAGATCAATAAGGGACCGAGACTCTTGCATTTCCATAGGTTTTATTTTCCCCCCTGGGATATGGGCGTCACTGGGAATTCCAGCATTTGTTGCCCATCCTAATTGCCCTTGACCTAAGTGACTTGTTCAGCTATTTCAGAGAGTTAACATCATTGCTGTGGATCTGGACTCGTAAATAGAGCAGACTGGGCGAGGATGGCAGATTTCCTTCGCAAACGCATTAGTGATGTAGATGGGTTTGTACAATAATTGATGGTAGTTGTCATGGTCACCATTATTGAATTCAGCTTCCAGACTTGTTAATTGAAATCAAATTCCACCAGCCGATGTGATGCAATTTGAACCCATGTCCTCATGGCTTCAGACTGTGCCACTGGATGACATTACCACTTTTCAACCATCCCCTATTTCCCCTTTCTGCACTTCGTAAAACCTCAAAATGTCCCGAAATACTTTACAGCCACTAATGTACTTTGGCAAGGCAGCTAAAAGACCACCTTATTATCACCATACGACCACCAAAGGACCAAAGATACAGGAGTAGAATTAGGACAGAGGCTAGTGTGCTGTACTATTCAACTATGGCTGATATGTTTCTCAACCCCATTCTCCTGCCTTCTTCCTAAAAGCTTTTATTTCCTTATTAACCAAGAACCTATCTGACTCTGTCTTAAATACACTCAATGACTTGGCTTCTACAGCTCACTGCAGCAATGAGTTCCATAGATTACCCATTCCTCCTTATCTCATTTCTAAAGGGTTGTTCTTTCATTGAGGCCATGCCCTTGGGTCCTAATCACTCTTAGTAGCGGAAACATCTTCCCCACTTCCATTCTATTTTGGTCTTTCAGTATCCTATAAGTTTCAGGGAGATTACCCCTCATCCCTCTAAACTCCATCAAGTACAGATCCAGAGCCATCAACCTGTCCTCATATGACAAGGCCTTCATACCCAGGATCATTCTTGCAAGTCACCCTTCAAAGTCAGCACGTCCTTCCTTAGATACAGAGCCCAAAACTACTGTCAATATTCCAAATGCTATCTGACCAGAGCCTTATACAGCCTCAGTAGTACATTTCTGCTCTTGTATTCTAGCCCTTTTGAAATGAATGCTAACACAGCACATTTGCCTTCCTAGCTGCCATGGTAACCTGAACAGAATTCTGAACTAGGACCCCCAAGTCCCTTGTGCTTCAGATTTCCAAAGCTTTTCCCTATTAAGATGATAGTCTATGCCTCTATTCTTCCTACCAAAGTGCATGACCTCACACTTCCCCACATTGTATTCCATCTGCCACTTCTTTGCCCACTCTCCTAACCATCCAAGTCCTTCTGCAGCCTCCCCACTCCTTCAACATTACCTGTCCCTCCAGCTATCTTTGTATCAAACTTAGCAACAATGCCATCAGTTACTTTGTTCAGGTCATTAATATATAACATGAATAGTTGTGGTGCCAACAGTGACCCCTGTAGAATTCCATTAGTCATTGGCTGCTATCCTGAAAAAGACCCTTTTATCCCCATTCACTGCCTTCTGCCAGTCTGCCATTCCTCTATCCATGCCAGTACGGAGCCCCTAATACCATGGGCTCTTATCTTATTCAGCAGACTCATATGCAGCACCTTGTTAGAGGCCTTTTGAAAATCCAAATACGTCACATCCACAGCTGTCCTTTGTCTAAATGTGCGTTACCTCCTCAAAGAATTCTAACAGATTTGTCAGGCACGATCTCCCCTTAAGGAATGCTGACTCAGCCCTAGTTTACCATATACTTCCAAGTATTCTGCAATCCCATTGTGATTTAGGAAAATGTTGAATCATCCCTCGGCAGTTTGTTGGGTGGTTTTGCTGCAGAATGTGTACTGCGTTTGCTGCATAAAAATCATTGTGGCTTATTTTAAATGCAAGGTGTTTCTCTTTGTCTCTTTGTTAAAGTGTTTAATTTATGCCTGCAGTATGGAAGTCTTTGGTAGGAGACAAGAAGGAAATGGAGGCTTGTTATTTTCTTGGACATCTTCAGTTTTTCTATAAAGAATGATCATGCAACACTGTCATTGAGAGGTGGCAGGAACTAGTTAGTCTCAGCATGTGTTAGAGGAGACATGGTAGGCTCAGCTCCCAGCCTTCATTTCAGATGAGAAATGCAAGACCTTTTTGCACCTTTCAGAAAACAGAGGCAAATTGGCACCAATTCAGGGCAGTGTTAAATAAACTCTGTCTTTTTTCACCTCTATGCCGGACATATTACAGCAGTATGTATCTGTACAGATCTTGTTCAATGGTTTAAAGTAGAGCTGCTTGTTTCAGTTCGGTTTTATATTTGCAAACTGTATGATCCTATTTCTGAATTCTGCAGCACACTCAGATCTGCTCAATGTATGGACCATTAAGTAAATGCCTTTCTAGGGGAACTGGCAGTATAGTGGTACTTCATTGGTCCATTGGGGGAGGGGGGTGGCACAGTGGCTCAGTGGCTAGCATTGCTGCCTCATAGTACCAGGGACCTGGGTTCAGTTCTAGCCTCAGGTGACTGTGCACAGTTTGCACATTCTCCCAGTGTCTGCATGGGTTTCTTCTAGGTGCTGTGGTTTCCTTCCACAGTCCAAAGCTGTGCAGGGTTGGTGGATTGGCCATGCTAAATTGCCCCATCATGTCCAGGGATATGCATGCTAGGTGGATTATCCATGGGAAATACAGGGTTAGAAGGATAGGGGAGGAGGGTGAGTCTGGGTGGTCTAAGGGTCAGTGTAAA